GGTTGGAGTCCATCGTTACAGGAGATGAGAAGTGGTGTCCTGTACGTCAATATCAAGCGCCTCCGCCACTGGGTTGACGAGGATGAGCAACCAAGCCGCAGCCGAAGGCAGGCCCTCACCCTCTAAAGGCTATGATTGTGTGTGGTGGGACTGCAAAGGTATCATCCACTATGAGCTTCTCCCACGCAACGCTACCCTTACGGCAGACCTCTACTGTGAGCAACTGGATAGACTGGCCGCCAAAATCGCAGAAAAGCGTCCAAATAGTGGTACGATCCGATTCTTGCACGACAACGCTCGCCCACACACTGCAAGAGTGTCTCGCCAGAAGCTACTCGACTTTGGGTGGGAGGTGTTGCCTCACCCGCCGTACAGCCCGGACCTTGCTCCGACAGACTACCACCTTTTCCTGTCGCTGTCCAACGCCATGCAAGGAAAAACGTTTGATGACGATTATGATATGGATCGCTGGTTGAGCAACTTTTTTGAATCAAAGCCAGAAAGGTTCTTTGTCAAAGGGGAGACTGTCAATTCAATCGTCAACTACTGGGCTCACGCCGCTCAAGCGGAAGATTGAATTGGGTTTGTGCGGCTACATCTGTGTGGACCTTGGCTTCACTATCCATGTCCATAAGTTGCTGGTGGACTAGGTAACTGATAAGACCAGAGTGCTGGACATCAGTAAGCCAGCAAGCGTCACTGTAAGATCTCCTGCAGTGATTTAAGCCTCACAGTACAAACTTGTACCGTGTAAAGGTTGTCCTTTTGGATTTAATTTGACTTCTTTATTAATCAGCTGCCTTCAATTTCTATCAGGGAGTGACGCTCTGGTTCAGTCAGAAGTTGATTCAGGGAATCGACTCCTTGTTTCTGTAGTGCTGTGTGATTCATACCAGCTGTCTCCACTCAGGCGCATCCATGCATGCTTGCGTGTGTGGTGCGCTCTGTGTGTGTGCGGTTGGTATCCTGCATGTCGGCACAGCCAAAAGCTTGCATTCAAGTGACTGGGAAGTACATGGGAGGCGATTCGGGGCCGCCTCCAAAAACTAAGCCCCTTGTTCCGCTCCAGGATAGCGTGGCTAACTACCTGGAGGTCTATCCTAGCCCGCACGACAGAGCCTGGCAAGCTACTCGTGTGCCTTCAATATGCCGAAAACAGCAATATGGATGGGCCTCATTCCCCTGAACCTGAGGGAGCCCCCAATACGGCAGCGTTGGGTAGGACCGCTCGGGAGAGGCTGCTAGAATCTCAGGGCCCGGATAGGCTGCCTAAACGAAGAAGGACTAACGATGTACAAGTACGTTCGAACGCTTGCATCCGAAGCTCACATCGAAGACCTGATGATGCAAGGCCAGGAAGATCAAGTACGACGTCATCGGACTGACCGAGACGAGAAGGCACCGCCCGCTACACGCCGTTTTCGATACTGGAGAAGAACTGTTCCTTGGAACATGCGACAGCAGAGGCGTTGGCGGTGTGGGTGTCCTCGTCAACACGCACTTGGCCATAAACATCGATTCGTACGAAAGCCTAAGACTCCGAATCGGACGTTTGAGATTGAGAAATTGTGATCCAACTCTTGCCTTGTCTGGAGAAGCGGAGAAGTCCTATAGCGAAAACCCTACTATCTTAGAGGTTATAGGTTATTTTTCTTCGAGGCGACCTTAATGCTAAAATTGGCTGAACGGCTGAATAACTTCCCATCGGTACTCACGGAATGGAACGGATGAGCAGGGTGAAGAACTGTCGCAGTTTACCATATTGACTAAGATATTATGGAGCTATCCCTGAGCCTCATAAATTGTATATCTTTGTTTTTTGAATCCTCTTGAGGACTCTTGATGTAAGATTTATTGGTTAGCTTTCGCTGTGATAACAGATTCTTCAGACCTACAAGGCATCAAGCATATTGCAATACTTCAAACCTAGGAGACATCAACATAATAAACATTAACTGACCAGGCCGATGCTCTCGCTAATGGGATACTCTGCAAAGCACAATTCAAGACCACATCAGACTATTGTACAAACCAGGACAACAACGATGCGATGATCACCTCACTCTAGTGCAGTTGCTAATAAAATAAAAATCACTGGGAATGAGCAGTACGTGACTATTTCACAGTACTGGCTTTTATCCACCGTTAACTCAGAAGTCTCATAGCCTCCATGGCCTCCTCTCTGATGTTTATTTCTGGAGACTTGATGGCGAGTGCCTCTAACAACTTCCTTTCTAAGGAGTCTTC